GTCCATGCTTGCCCTTGTCCTGAGTACCGTGTGCAGTTCTGGCCAGCCCACCCCACACAGCCACAGTGGGACTAAGAACAGAAGACCATAAGGGCAGAGATGTGGGATGACTTCTGTAGAGCGAGGACTAAGCAGATAACTATTCAGCTTGGGAAACAGCCTGACCAGGGAGATACTACAGACCTACAAAATCAGGGCAAACAGTTATTCTTAACTTCTGCCCATGCAGGAACTAGCGGATATCAAATGAAATTCTCCAGCAGCAGGTTCAGTGCAAACAAAAGGTGTCTTTTTCTACAGCATGTCATCAACCCGCAGGCATAACCGCAGGGTGCTGCGGAGGCCAGCAGCCTAGCTGGGTTCAAAAAGGAACAAGACAAGCCGCTGCAAGAGACCACTGCCTGCTGGACAAGCCTAAAAAAAATGGCTTAGGAAGTTCCTAACCTGGGGACCGGTAGGAACTAGAAGTTTGTGCCAGAGGAAGGACTGCTCTGAATATGCCCTCTTATTCAGAGTCTCCTTAAGCTTGTGTTGTAGTCACCGCTGGAGAGAAGTCCCAGGCCTAGGTGGGCTTGGGGATGACCCAGCATGACTATGCTAATGCTCTGCTGGGGAACCCAAGCTTCCCTGCCCTTTCTCAGAAGGCCATAGTCATGTATCTTGATCCTTTCCCTGTATAAACGCAGCAGCTGTAAGTGCTTCCCCCCTCTGCCTGCCTGGAAAGTGGTTTGCCTTGGCGGCCTCTGCCCTCGCTTCCCTCCTCCCAACCCAGAAAGTTGGCCCTGCAAGCTGCAGGCCCCCCTGCCTTCGCAAAACACCCACCCACTGCAAAGCCCAAATTAACATGCCCTCAGGAGCTAGCTGAGCTCAGACATGAACACATCTCTCCACTGCAGCTACTCCACATGTTCATCATCACCATTCATTACTCAGGGTAGCCCTGAGCCTCTGCAGTTGCTCTCACCTTTGCACTAATTCAGTAACGGAACTAGCAAAACCCATCTCAGCACAAAGACAGGAGACGGAGGCACCCAAATGGCCAAGGAAAGACTGACAAAAGCCCATTAGGCAGTGAAATAGCGTCCATGGGACTCTCTCTCCTGGGCAGAGTGTCATGGATGCAGCCCTGCCACTGACAATGTTCCCTTGGGACAGTATACCACAGTAGCACCAGTGTCCGTCGCTTTATTAGGAAGAAAAAGGAACCGTTCTTGCAAATGAATTAGGCCTTGCAGGAGGAGGGCTTTTTTTGTCCTCACATGAACACCTTATGACACTGGTTTCTGTTACCCAGACCCTGAGATGCAACCCTATATTTATTTGCTGCTGATCCGCAGGGTAGTAGATCAGCACCTGCAATTTGTAAGTAGCTCTGCTGCTTTAAGGAGCAGAAGAGCTTCCTCATAACCAAGGCCATTAGAAATTCCGCTTAGAGAATGTCTTCTCAGCACCAGATCACAGAGACGGAAAAGGGTTTACAAGGGTTACTGGGGGCATACCCGTTTCTGAAGGGGAAGGGCAGTGGGAGGTCCTTGAACCATGTCCCAGCATACACTTCCAGGAGAAAACATGGCTCAGCAACTTCGTTTTCATTTCCATGCTACAGCCTGTTTACAAATGAGCTTCCTAGAGAAGCAATGGCTCTGGGACTCCCGTTGGGTGCTGCCTTGACTCACCTGTAGCCTAAAGAGTCCATGGGGACAGGGGCCATGCCCAAGTTTTCAGTGTAGTTTCGTGACTTTGTTGCATAGTTATGTGAATCTACATTCCACGCAAAGCTGTTCTGCACCCTCTGAGTGGCCTCAGCCTCAATCTGCTCTTTTGGTTTCATCACGCTGTGGTGATGAATATGGTGATAGACATGTTTATGGTGGTATAAGTTAGCTGCATCCAGTTTCATTCCTGATTTTGTTGCGTGCTTGCCATGCCCTGGAGGAATCGTTCCTAGTGTCCCTGACAGCTTCCCTAAGTGGCCGCTTTCTGGGGACCGTGGCTTAGGAGAGTGGCGGCCAGGTCCTGGAGACTGACAGCCTGGCGTTTTCATGACACGCTGTACATGCTCGTCGAGGATGCTTTCTGGGTTCTCCTCGTGCGCATCTCTCATCTGCATCCCAGCACAGCCCATCTCAGAGTAACGAGGAGCAAAGTGATGAAAGGTTTGGGCGGAAGGCATCTTGTGGCTAATGACTGAGGGACCAGAAGAGATATCTGCATCCTCACCTTCTTCTTCCTGGAAGAAAACAGAAGGACGATCATTGCATGACAGCAGTATGCTCTGGAGACACCTAGTCCCACTTTCCACTTGCAGCGGGACTGTCACCTACCCTAGAAGAGGTCAATTACGGCTTTGTCCAGCAAGGTCTTGAACACCTTCAAGGACAGAGACTCATCCCCCTCTCTGGTGACCTGTCCCAGGCTGCATCCCCCTCCTGGGGGGAGTTTATTTTCTAATGCCGACCCTGAATCTGCCCAGTCTCAGCTTGTGGCCATTGCCTTGCTGCTACCGAGAAGAGCTGTGCTCCAGCACCTCCGTACCTGCCTGCCAAGTCGTCGTAGCCAGGGTGTCAATGCATTACCAACAGAGCGAGGCAGCCACTGACACGCAGACCACGCATCACCAACGAGATTTACAGATGCAGCTTTCTGATAAGCGTAATAACTTGATTGGATTTAAGAGAGAGGAGAGCCTTGCTAAAAAGCTCACCAAGTCCCTTGAAGATGGTTCTGCAACAACCAGCAAAGGAAACACAGCGTACCGCACTATCTGTGGAACTTCCTGCAAGCCTTCGGTAAGGCATCACATCAAAGCTCATCAGATAAAGCACAAAGTTACAGGCTACGCAGCAAACCACTTCTCGAGCCAGGAGAGACCAGGGGATTTTCTCACGTGAACGACTATTGCACAAAGCAAGGCAAACAACGGGCTCGTCACAGGAATATGCAACTGAAGGTCGACAGCAGCCTGAACGGCTTTGAAAATCAAACATTGATTTCTCCCAGGCATGCGTGAAACACTTCACGCAGATAAAGAAATGGACTGTAGCTAACTGCTCGTTCTTGCAGTTCACAACGGTCTAGGACATGCTGCTGTTAACGCCTCTTAAGTCCTTGCCAGGAAGAATAAAACTCCTCCGTGCTGACAGCCACAGTTTTGATGCTGACAAACTGTTTTGCTCTCCAACATAAACTCAGATATTTATGAAGTTTCTTTATTGGAAGTCAGGATTCCTATTTTTTTAATTACATAAGTCGGATTCCAGCAAGTCCTTTAATCTTGCTCTCTTTTTCCTCCTTTGGCACAGTAAAGAAATCATCTGCAGGACGGGGCAGCTCTGCCCTGCCAGATGAATATATCTGCTAGAAAACCCTGACTCCCATCACCTTGGCCTGTCAGATGTCATCATCCATCATTGCTAACCAGCTTTGAAGTCTCAGCTGCCAACCGCAGAGCAAGAAAACAAATAACAGATTTCCACCGGGCAGCACACCTGGGGGTTTCAAACCCAAGCAGGGATAACATCAGGCTTTGAAAGGGGAAAAGACAGAGGTGCTGCAAGCACCCGTGGCCAGCAGTTCTGCGCTGGGGGCACACTGCTGCAAAGGCCCCAGAGCAAAACGGCTAGGGCAGAGATGGCGAGGAAGAGCTTGGAGAGGGGGCAGGCAGCCTGCAGGAGTGAGAGCCCCAGCCTCTACTCCTGGCTGGCACGCTGCCCGCCTTGGCCCAGTCCCGTCTCTCTTCCTGCTGCTCCTCTCCTGCCTCATCAAGGTCCTTTCCTAGTTGCATCCTTCAGCTCCACTGCCCTTCTCTCCCCGGCACACAGCCAGCAGCCACAGTCCCTTGGACACTACAGCTACCATCACCAGCCTGACAAGTGTCTGGGAAAGCAGATTTAGGGAACAGCTTATGGGGTCACATACTGAACCCTAGCAGATGAGATGAGGTGCTGAGTGTGGCAGAGAACTGCACATTCTCCTGCTCCAGTGTAACATGAACCTATCTCAAAGGGCCAAGAGCTATTCAGAAGGATCTCATCCTTGTGGCCCATTTCGGCAAGAGTCAGAACAAGGCTGGTCCAGTAGGACAGCGATCCCAACTGTTCCATTGACCAAAATGACACCACATCACCGGGCAAGAGAAGGGCCTTGAGCTGCGTCATGATGACCCTTTCTGGAAGGGACAAACCACTCTAATAAATTACTCTTAAGAACGTCAGAGGTATCTTTCCTCTGCAGTCACAACACTGCAGCCTATCAAATGCCGTCCCTGGGCAGGTAGTTCAGGTAAAAGAAAAGATGAATCTCATACTGACTAAATTTGTAATGCTGGGGTGAACATTTATGAGCACTTTACGGTAACCCAGTGATGCACTCAACACTTTGTAGGCACTTAGGGCTGGTACCTACATTCTGAAGAACTCTTAGCTTTAAATATCAAGTAGTACCTGCAGGGCTAAGTCTGGATCCTAATGAATACCCTTGTTGAAGAGCAGCGTGTCCTGTCCGCTCAGAGAGCAGAGCTGTGACAGTGCTGCAGTACCACACCTGGGCAGAACTCGTGACCACAGGATAAACCTGGGACTGTTCAGCCAAGTGGCTGCTTGAGGTTTAGGAGCTCCTCTGGCTTCCTAGAACCTGATTTTGTAAATAACTGGGACGTGGGACTTTATTTGCTCAGAGATTGACATCAGGATGGACTAAGGGAAGAAGAGGCTGTCTGTTTGCCTTGGCTCAGCCCACGTGTCACTAAGCTGGAGATCTAGCAGAGCTGCCCAGAGATGGCCCCAGGCACGAGCAACTGCTGCTTGGGTTGGGGGCGTGCAGGCAAGCTCTGGGGGGTGGCTGGCTTTACGTCTCAGCCTCCCATGGCAGGAAAGTCACAACGGTGAGAAAAGGGCAGATGAATGAAGGAAACAGTGCCTATCCCAAGCTGCTCTGTCACCTACAGCAGGGCAGCAGCTACAGGCTCAAGTCTTCTGCAGATACCAATTCTGCTGCACCTTTCCTCTCTGGTTAGCTTGCAGTGAAAAAAATGAGGTAGCATGCAAAGCTGGGTCAGTGTGACCTGCCTCTGCTTACGGCAGAGCCCAGGCTCAGCTCCGTCACGTGCGCTGGTGCCCTGCAGCGTGCACAGAGGCTGCGGCACGAAGAGGACAACAGCACTGCAACACGGTGCCTCGTATCAGGAGGCTCTTAATGGGATACTATGAAGACATCACCACATACCTAGGACATCCAGAAGAAAGAAGACCTGGGAGTTTAACTCCTGCACCAAACCAGGACTGATTCTTCTCCTTCCTTTGAGTTTCCTTGCCTGAGTCGCCTGATCTGCGTCTACGCCTGGCAATACCACAGCAGCCTTCCCCTCCGAGCCAAACCTGCCTGACCCAACCTGAGCAAGCTCTGCTCCCAGCCCAGCCTGTAGCCCCTCTGCCTGCACAGCCCTCTCACCCGGCAGGTGACGGCCCGTGGTCGGCACAGGCAGAAGAAAGGGCAGACAGCGTCGCTGGGTTTGCAGCATGCAAGGCTGGGGAACGAGCCTTCCCACACCGGAACGTGGGCGAGAAGTTCGGAGCAGGCATCTGCAAGCTGGACTGTAAAGCACACTTTTGGCATGGAAATGTTCCTGTAGCCATGGGTGTTTGCCCACACAAACACCAATGCGCTGTGCTCACCGCCCGCCTCTGAAAATGGCTAACCGCGTTCTGCAAAAATAGGTGCCTAAATTTGCACACCAGGGAATAACGGGTAAACACACGCTCAACGCATACTGCTGCATGCCTGCAACCAGCTGTTTTCTAACCGTTTTGCCTAACGTTTTCTACAGTTTTACAAAACTACCCCGGCATTTCGGGAGTTTTTCTGCCAAGTTCATTGCTAACTAACTGTTACCAGCTCCAAGGATTAAAGTAGGGCTTCTCAGCAGATTAGGTACCAAATCTCCTTCCCTCCTCAAACATCTGCAGAACCGCTTCTGCTAGGAACGACTGCATTCCACGCAGAGGAGATGTGCGGGTTTGGAGAGCAGCCTCCTTGCCGGGATCAGCGTTGGTGGCCAGAAAGGTGGCGCGGGAGGACGGCGCCCAGGTGACGCGGGCTCCAGCGCCCGCGTCCCA